AGGTCTTACTGAAGTGTTGTATCTTGGCTATCTTGATGTTGTAACTTCCCAGCAGTAAAATACAATTTGGTGGTATTCAGAAATCAAGTATTTAAAAAATAAACATCATTCCCAAAACAAAGTAAATTTTCCATTTTTATAAAACAATACCATTATATGGGAAAATATTCACAATGTGTAATTATGTTTAAAAAAGCAGTCAACCCAGGGTATTATTACCTTATTACCACTATGACAAATAATGTACATCAAATTATGTGTCAGTAATGGGACAACAGTTGATTTTTTACTGTGACTTTCAGAATTTTCTTTGAAAGGTTTTTAAAGCCAAAGACATATAAATATGAAATATGACAATATTTTGTAAAAATGTATCACAGGCCAGGGTTTGTTTCCATAGTGCCCCTGTTCTCTTGCCCATAATAACATGCACCCCTTTAGTGACAACCTTCCCCTGCCTAGTCTGTCTCTGGACAGTGGTCATATCATGTTCTAAGCAATTATCTGTCTGTCAAATAAAGAGTTATACTGAGCACAGCAAATTTGTTCATAAGTGTAGGTAAGGCAGTTGAGGCAAAGCCAGTGACTCTCTCAAATGAAATCACAGATATATAGCAGAAGATCATCAAACCATCAACTGAATTTATCAAGTAAACCAGTGAAAAAGTTTGCATGGTTTGGTATAGGCCAAGTTACCAAGTAAAAAACCAAATGTCTTTCTCCCTTTCAGCAAATTGATTTCTGCTCCAAAACAAATACTAACTTAATTTCTAAAGTTGCTCAGTTTCCCAAGACTAAGTGAGAGGGATGCTTTTAAGGAACAGATCCTCTTCATGAGTTGATTGTAACCCTGGAGCTGTTACGGGGAAGCTGGTGAGATCATAAGGCCAGGTATGTGGTTGAGACTTTCACAGAAAATTCTTTTATCAGAAGAAATTGGGAAGAATGTTGGACAGGCAAAAACAGATATCTGCTATAGAGCAAAATGAAACAATTATTATATTATTATATAGACTAATTACAAAAATTTTACTGAACTTCAGTCATAATACCTAGCTAAATGGTTGCATTTTTTCCCAGCAAAGTATAGTAGTCCCTCCTCCTTACCTGCAACTTCACTTTACACAATTGCAGTTATTTGCAGTGAGCCTTGCCCAGAAAATATTAAAGTGAAAACACCAGAAATAAATAATTCTTAAGTTTTAAATTGTATACTATTCTAAGAGTTTCACAAAATCTTCTGCCATCTCACATCACTCCATTGTGTCCTACTCGGAATGTTAATCATCCTTTTGTCCATTGTACCCACACTGTACATAGTACCTTTCCATTAGTTACTCAGTGGTCATCTCAGTTATCAGATAAGAATGCATAATATATATTGGGTTCAGTACTGCAAGGGTCTCAGGCATCTGCTGGGAGTCTTAGACTATATTCCTGCATAAAAGAGAGGACTACTGAAGTGCAGTAATTTGAGTATAGATCTTTGGGGCCCTCTGTCCAATGCCCTTCTCTGGTTTGGTCTCCATAGCTCAGACTTTCACCAAAAAATTGACAATGAGTTGATGCTTTACATTGTAGCCCTGGAGCTGTTATAGGGCAGGTGATGGTTGCCAATAGCAAACAAATAAAGTTGTCAAAATACTATTTTAATAGCTCGTAATGCTTTTACATAATGTGATGCTAGTTAACAAAGAGCACATTAAAAAAGAGAATTTCACACTTTTCTTCCCAAATGTCATTTAAATCTCATTAAGTGAGAGTTGAGAAATTATGACACTGACACTGATTCATTTTTTATTTACCTATGTTTTAGCCATAATAAGGGCCCTGGGGAAAACATTAGCCCATAATAACATGCACCCCTTTAGCGACAACTGAAGGTGGTAGTAGGAACTGTGAGGGATCACAAAAAATCAGTCGGGATTTGGTTAAGATTTGAGAGACAGATGAATAGAAATCCAACTCAACTTGGTGGGCACAATCAAATTTAATAGTGGTTAATTATGCCAGGTAATTTTGTTTATTTCTTTTGTCCCTGTCAGGTAAGGATCAGTTTATTTTGCCCTTAAATTGAGATACCGAATTGTTGGACCAGCAGTCTTTCTCGCTCTTCACCTAACTAATAATATACTACATGCTTTATGTATTTATGTGCTACAATGTTGGGTGCTTATATATTTAAAATTGTTACATCCTTTCAATGAATTGACTCTTTTATCATTATATCTTATCTCCTTTTTATAGTTTTTCATTGAATGTTCATCTGACAAAGAATAACTACTCTTATTCTCTTTTGGTTTCCATTTGCACTGAATATCCCTTTCCATCCCATCACTTTCAGTCTGTGTGTGTCCTTAAAGGTGAAACGAGTCTTCCAGTAAACAGCATGCAGTTGGGCCTTATAGAAGAATGTAAAAGGCAGGCAGGTGTGAGCAAACAGAACTGTAGTTCAGTGTGGAGAGTAATGGCCCAAGGAGCTATCTGCCATGGCTGGGATGTGGCTTCTTCTAATTTATTACCATTCCCTCATTGTAGTTTTTGTTTCTAGTTGATTCTAGAAAGTCAACTAAAAGTGAAATGCCTACCCATTTAAAAAATATATAAAGAGATCAGTTTATCTGAGTGACTGATGTAGGTGGAATTTGGTTAAGATTTGATTATTTGTGTTTATGTATTAAGATTTCAATTCATTATCCATATTGCTTTTAGGGAAAAAAATAGTTATCTGGAAAGCCTTTTAAATAAAATCTTCCTACCTGGTCTTCACCCCATCCCACTGCCTAACCAGAGCTTTTAGTTCCACAAAGAGTTTTTCTAAAAGATTCCCTGGCTGTCCATTTCTACCCCATTTGTCATCCTTCCCAGTCCCAGGGTCCTAGAAGTGTGCCAACCTACTCTGGGGTGTCTACTTATTCAGAGGTTCACATCCTCCTTTCTTTTGAGTTTTTGATGCTCTAAAACCCCTATCTTGTCTCCTTCATTTACTCTTTATGGCCTGCCTCTACTGGGATTCTGTTGCTTAACATTTCATTTTGATCATAGTAAAAGTAACAATAAAACAGAAAAAGACATAGTATTGTTAAAACTTAAATGAAAAATACAGAATATTGTACTTTCCTCCAAGACTTGCTGACTCATAATTAAGTTTAGAGCTTGTCTAGAAATTATTCCTCATTACTACTCACTACCATACTGAAGGAAAAAGCAAATTTAAGGATTGAAAATTTATAAGACAACATTTTATCTGTGCCTCTGTAGAGACTCATTTACTACATGTTGCAAATAGAACAAGCATTTCCTACTTGCTCTGAAATCCTCCTATGCCTATCAAAGAGGAGGCCTTCACATAAGGACTCTTGACTAAATAGAACTTAGGAGCAATACATTAATTGCCCTTTGTAACTTCAAAAAGGAAAGCCCATGTTAGTCAAAGCAGCACAATTCTGCTAAATCTCTGTTTTAAACAGCCCTTGGAGATCTCAGAGACGGTCCTCCTGAGAGAAATGTTCTCCAAAGCTTTTATTTCCAACTTGTTGCCCCAGATATTTCTGAACCATGTGTATTTGGACGAAATTAATATGTCAGGTCTGAGTTGGTCAAAATTATTTGAAAAACCCTCACATCAGAGAAAAAACCTCAAGGTTTAGATTGTCAGTCCTCAGAGTGACAGAGGGTTAGGAGTTGCTGAGAAAAGTAGGCACTTTGAGAAAGGTGTCACCAAAGGGTCTGACTCCTTGAATTTACTGACAAATTTCTATCTAGGATCAACTACAGCAGTGAGACAGGGCTGTAGCTTTTGCACTGCCTTTTGTCCTGTTTTCCTAATCCACACCAAATGGCTCTGTCACACAAAACATTACAGATACTGTACAGGTACTGAGCTTTCAACAAAGATGTATAATCTCAGGTTCATGGCCAGTGTTAGTGTGAATCATTTTTGTGCAGTGGCCTCAAGAAGAGCTTATACTCTCCAGTGTAGGCTATGGAGGAAAACAAATATCAGAGCAAATGGAAATGCAATGACCTGACAAGGGCCCAAACCAACAGCAAAAGAAAGCCTTGGTAGAGACCTGATATGATAGGCTGTTTAATTTTGTTTGGAGAAACTGGCCTTTAGACAGATGAACTTCTTTTCCCTTGAATTCTTGTTTATCTAACAGACTTGTGGTTGAGATATGATCCAGGATTCACAAGGTCAAACAGTGAACTGCTTCACACACAGTGGACTCCACCCATCTCACTCCACGGCTTCCCCAGGCAGGTGGTCTGGTGGGCTGCGGGTACGCCCACCCCACAAATGGTCACCCAAAGGACATATCAACCTCTTGGGCTTGGCCCTCTTGATTTTTGGCAGCTTCATGAAACTCGGGGCTCAACTTCCTTTCCCATGCTGTTCTCTGAGCTTGAAATCATTCCAATGTGTTCAATGAATGAACATCTTGTTAAAATGCATTGGGAATTGAGGCCATCAGTGAAATCTAAAATATACTAACACATTGGATTTTTAATACCTTTCTTTCTTCATGAGAAATAGATTTTCAAAGATTACCCATTATCCCAAGAGTGAAAGAATGAAGGATTATTGAATATTCTTATCCTTATCTTTGAAACTTAAAGAAAATCTATTAAAAAGAGGATTCATAAAGCAGTCTTCCCTCCTTCTCCCCTAATCCCCTGGTTCTCTAGTGTATAAACAGGACATTTTTCCCCACCTGAAACCTAGCCCTTGGATTCTATTATCTGTGGTCTTGTTATTATCCCCTTACTTACGGATCCACAGCAAAGATAATCTCAGTAGGTACATAACAGGTCCCTTTGTGTTGCCTGTCTACTCTACACTCATCTCTGGGCAGGCCAACTTGCAAAGACTCAACTAGGAACAACTCTGCCTTGAGATAAAGTGCACAAAGCTCACAAGCATCTCTTTGATTAAGAGGGCAGAGCAGGGATATGGATGTACAACTTATAATTTTCCTTTTTGTTTTTCTATTTTTCAGAAATTGAGGCCAAAGAAGCATGTAACTGGCTCCGTGCTGCTGGGTTCCCGCAATACGCTCAGTTGTATGAGGGTATGTCACCTTCTGCTCGCACTGTCCCTCAGTGTTTCTCCATCAGCACTTTGTCCACACTTTCTTCTGTAACTTTTCCTTGTTTTTTTCTTCACCACTCTGTTTTCTTGAAACCAAACTGAAGTAGTTAATAAATTTCTTAGAAGTCTCAAAACTAATTGCTTTGCACTTTCTCCTATTTCTGTTCACTTTATATGAAAAATGTTAAGGTATAATATGGATGAGATGTAATTCTTTTTAGTTTTTGGTAAGGTGATTGTATTGCTAGAATTATACTTTCTTTATCAATTATATAATTGACAATTAATAAATGTACTCACCTGTATCTTACTTATATCTAAAATTATAACCAAAGACTTTAACTCTCTCTTGAGTCATCCCCGTGTACAGTGAATTAGGTTGGTAGCAGAAAGCAGACTCACTTATGGAGGATTACTCCTAATAGCATCCATGGCAAAGGTGTGGACAGAATAGGAATCCACAAGGAACAGTGCATAGTATAGGAATCCAGGGCTTGTAAGAGCAGAGCTGTCACTACTATAGGCCCAAAGGGATAGGCAGAAGGGGATGGTGGCAGGGCCCAAAGGTGAGGAGCTATGGAGCAGACCCTCCCTTGGAGAGAGCACACAGCTGACCGTGAGTGCCTCCTGTGGAAAGATAAGGGGGATAAATATCCTGACCCCAGGCTTTTCCTTCCATTTCCAGCCAGTGCTTCACTTGGATAAAACAAGAGGAAGCCAGATGACATAGGTCTCCTTAGTTGCTATCTGTCCCCAAAGGTGACGCTTGGGACACAAAGCAAGGTGCAGAGAAGTGAAGAGTAGGTCTGCAGGACTAAATAGAGGCTACCTAGCACACGAAACAGTACCACATTATCTTCCTGATGCCATGAATTTTGTATGATGAAAAGATTAACAAAATTAGCCTTTACGTATTGATGACTTCCATCTCTTCATCTAGAAGTTGAATTTTATATTAAAAAATAAAGCAATGTGTCTACTTCTCTCACCTTAAATTCTATGAGGTAAAGGAGAGATTATCTTTCTTTGGGTGTTGGACTTTGAGATCTCTGATAAAAGTTTTCATAGAATTGTAGCCTTTTAGACAAGGAGGAATTTTATAGTTTAGTTCTAAGTAATTCTCCTCCAGCAGCTCACTGATTAGAAAGGAGAAGCCTGGAAAGATGGAAGAGTTAGAACTAAAATCCCAGTCTCTTGACCATTAGAAAGTATATTTTCTAATCTCCACTTGGTTTACATACTCAAGGTCAAGATAGCTTACAAGTCACATATAAGATTGTGTTTCAGCCATATGAATTGAATAAATGTAATAAGAATAAATACTTCTATGGTGTATGCCAGGTATTATTCAAAGCACCTATACTATCCGCTTAATATTCACAGACCATCATACCATAGGTATGATAATTATCATTCCCATTTTACAGAGGCCAACGGAGGTTAAGTGACTTGCCCTTTGTTCCACAACTAAGACGTAATCAGGACTCAAAGTAAGAGCATCTGCACTTCAGAATTTGTTTTTCTCACTGCAACACACACTCACTTGCCTAGAATGAGATAGTCTTCATCGTGGGACCATCTTTACCTGTTTCACCAGAAGAGGAATTGTTTCTGCTTCCAACTCACACTGAGAGTTAGATACCCATGCCAGATTTATCGTGAATGGCAAGGTATAGGCAGGACAACATATAAAATGAGAAAGAGAAAGAATAACAAGACAAAGATGATGAAACAGCATTGTTAAATTTGACTATGGCCTCTATGCTAATGACCTCAGATTTTTACCTATATAAATGAGGTACCGAAAATTAATGCCATGTTCTGAATATTGGCTGATGACCTCTCCAGCTGGCATGAACAGTTTGTTGGAGAAAAGTTATGGTGTTGGAATTTCTTCTTCTCTTTGGGTAGATCAATTGAATATTTTGCTGAGACTTTGAAGTAACTCAAGGTTTAGCTACAAAAGAAAACATTGAGGCAATTTAACTTTGGGTATTTTTGTAAATGTCCTTTTTGAAGGAAAAAAAAATCTGACAAAGTAGTCCATGAAATCAACAGGATAAAAGTCAGTGATGTTCACATTAGGTAGACGATGGGAGTGTAAAAGCTCTTCAAATCCACATTAATCTAAGTCTGTAATAAGGATGAGATATAAATATGCAAGCGCTTAGTATTAAATCCAAGGTCATGTACTTGATTATCTCATATTTCACACTTATATCGTATTCTCAAAAGCATTTACTGTGATAAAAATAAAACTGTCTGCTATTTTAAACACCACCAACAATGGTAATGAGCAATGACTATTAAGATCAGTGACTTGTACAGATCCTGGTAGTCTGAATGTGTCAGGGCCCATTCAGATAAAACAGTGTACATAAACCTGTTTGTCCCTCCCTTTCTCTTTCTCAGATTCACAATTTCCCATTAACATTGTGGCTGTCAAGAACGATCATGATTTTCTTGAAAAGGACCTTGTAGAACCTCTTTGCAGGTAAGCTGTGGGAAGCATTTTCATTTCTTTTCATTGGTTAGTCCCCAGTAGTTATCAGTAATTTGAAGGTCAGGTTTAGCAATTCAGTAAATATTTATTGTGAGCCTATTAAGTGCCAGACACAGGTCCAAGTTCTAAATATACCATAGTGAGTGTGATCAGTTTGTGTTTTTGTGGAATTTAAATCCTAATAAGGGACTTCGAATAATAGATCAAATAAAAGAAAGAGGAAAGCATGAGTTAGAAGAAGAGGAAAAGAAAGGGTATGACTATTTCCTAGTGTATTATATGCTATTAAAAAAATTAAAGCAGGATGAAGGATATAGCTGGTGATTGGAGAGCATAGATGAGTTAGTGGGAGGAGACAGCATGGGCAGACATAACATGAGTAGTCAGGGAAAATGCTAAAACTTCCATGATTACGTCAAGTTTGATTATATTTTTTGCAAAGTCAAGTGATTATATCCTCAAACTGGAATATGTAAGGCCAAGTAATTGCAGCACAAATTTGCATATTTAAACCTTTGCTGCATGATAGATGCTATAACAAGAAAAGATGTATATATGAATAATTCTCTACCCCTTAAATACTTCCGAAATCAGAGGAGATTGGGGGCCTTCAGGGTGCTATGGCTGTAGACAAATTTTCATTTCATTTGGATCAAAAGTTTTAGGAATGGTATTGTGGGAGCCATATGATGAATCTATTTTAACTTTGTAAGAAACCAGAAAAGTTTCCAAAGTGACTCTACTACGTTGTATTCCCACCCACAACACATGAGACTTTTAACTGTGCCCCACTTTTTTAGTGTCAGACTTACACAGTCTAGCGTTATTACACTGTGGTTTTAATTTGCATTTTCTTAATGACTAATAATGTTGAACATATTTTCATGTGATTATTTGCCATCTATCTTCTTTTGTAAAACAACTATTCAAATCTTTTGCCCATCTTTAATTATATTTTTCTTATTGAGTTTTAGATTTTTGGTTTGTCCTAGATATAAGTCCTTTGTCAGATATGTATTTTATAAATATTTTCTGCCAGTCAATTCCTTGTCTTGTCAATATCATAGCAGTATCCTTCATAGAATGAAAGTTTTTAATTATGATGAAGTCTAACTTATCTATTTTCATGTGTTTAATTTTATATCAAGGAAATATTTGCCTAACATAAGGTCACAACTATTTCATCCTGTATTTTCCTGTAGATATTTAATAAATTTATATTTCATGTTTAAGTGCATTCTATTTTGAGTTTTTTATGTAAGGCACAAGATATGAGTCAAAATTGTTTTTTTGCATGTGAATGTCCAATTGTTTCATCTCTATGTTGAAAAAACTGTGTCTTCATTGAATTGCATTGACCATATATGTATGTTGTATTTCTAGATTCTCTATTCTGCTCTAGTTATTCATGTTTCTATCTTTTCATCAATAGGACACCATTTTATTATTTAGCTTCAGTTAAGTCTTGGAATCTAACAGTGTGAGTCTTCCAATTTTGTCCTTCTTTGCTAAGATTGTTTAGGCTATTCTATTTTCCCTGCCTTTTCACATAAGTTTTAGAACAGCTTGCCAATATTTATTTTTAAAGTCCTATTGGAGTTTTGATTTGGACTGTGTTCAAGCTATGTATTAGTTTGGAGAGAAGTGATATCTTAACAAAATTTAATCTTTTATAAACAGAATGTCTATCTACTTAGGTGTCTTTTTTTCAATATTGATTTGTAGTTTTAACATATGAACTGTACACATACTTGATAGTATCTAAGAATTTCATATTTGTACTGTTTTTATAAATAGTACTGTTTTTATCATATCAATTTCCAAGTATTTTGCTATAATATAATTTTTGTATATTTTCTTTGTATCCTGCAGTCTTTCTAAATTCATTCATCAATTCTAGTCATTTTGTTGTACTATTTTCCTTAAGACTTTATTTCTAAAGTGTTGATGAAAGATTACATATTAAACCATGAATAAAAATTATATTATATATTTTAAATCAAGGTTTTAAAAAAATTTCAGGGCAAACACAGTCTCTTGTGTGGTTCTATTCCCAGGATGATATTTGTGGCTTAGTGGGCCAGGTGTTGAATCTCAAATATGTGGGTGATAAATCCTTATCTACTTACTGCTGCACATGATATGAGATGCCTTGAATAAGTTATGGACATTTTCTATAAAAAAAAATCCATGCTTAAAAAGTCTCTCAGACATAAACAGGTTACAGGAATGACCCAGTACTCTTAACGTGAAATCATATAGAGATATAAAGTTGTGAACAACAATACTTGTATCAGCCAGAAAACGTCAAGAAGTCTTCTTTTGTAGAGCACATGAGCCATCAGAATACAGCAGTAGCAGGATCCATACATGTGTGCCACCAAAGCATTACTGCATCAACATGAGGAAGCCAGCACTGCTATGCACCATAGCACTCTTTATAAGGACCCAGCTTGTGCAATGATGGTTAGGGTAGCAGGATGTTGTTATAATTGGAAGACTTCTTAGGGAAGCTATGTTTCCAAAAATATTATGAAGCAAGAAAAACATTTGGCTGGAGGTGTGTGAACTGAGATTCTCAGGGCGTAGGAGCTGTGGGTAGAAGAGAGGCCAAAGGAATAGTCAAACCCAGGGTGGATCAAAGGAAGGAGGCGGAGTAGGTAGACAGATGGAGGTGGCTTGGCCAAGAAGAAGCAGCATGGAATTTCCTTTCCTTCACTGTGAGTTCCACCAAGACACAGGTTTCCTGCCTAGAAATGGTGGAAAATAGACAGAAGGAAGATCTTCAGCTGGAGAGGAATGACAGTGATTTTAAAACTCTGAGACTGATGAATAGTTAATTAGGCACTCACCCACCTAGATGGTAAGTCACGACTAATGCCAAGAGAGCAGCAAGGGGTTGGGATTTTGTTTTCTTCTTTGTGCCCTGTATACATACAGAGAGAGAGAGAGAGAGAGAGAGAGAGAGAGAGAGAGAGAGATCTGTTCTCATTTTATTTTTAAACCTTTGTGGGCTTTATAGTTCTCATACATATTTGAAATGCTGAGATACTACAGAACTGTAAAGAGTATCATAGCCAGAGGGCGGGTAGCATCTGTCAGGTAGACAAAAGAAGACAGAGCTGGAGGTCTCCTACAAACGGGAGCCGTGACAAGATTTTTACTCACCTTTGGTCTTCTGCAGATGCCTCTCCTGTGAAGACAAGCAGTTAATGCCCTAGGCCCCAGTTTACTGGAAAGGTGTTAAACAGCATCATGTTATTTGATGGACTTGGAATTATGCATATTTTGCTCAGGTTAGTGGCTGGCAGCAAAAGCCCAGAACTGGCCCCAAAATGTGGACTGTAAGCCCTCTCCTCCCTTTTAAAAAGATATTTGGAGCTCTCATTTTTAGTCCCAAGAAACTAGACAGGTTTGCTGCCTTTGCTGAAGGGGTGACCCTCTGTAATGAACTGAGTCTCACTGTGGGTCCAGCAGGGCTGACAGAACCAACACACAGTAAGCACTCTGTAAATGCTTGATGCTACCACTGAAGAGTGTCAGAAGAGTACACTATTATTTTAGCAACTGTGGCTATTGTGGTGTTTTTGATCGACCCTTAATTGAAATATATTTTCTCCTTGGAATCATGAAAAGGTCATTGCAAATCTAATTGACCAGGTAAACTAATTGAAACTATAAGTCTATCAGAATGTAAGGATAGCCAAGGTGTCAAAATATTTTGTGAAGTTTTTCACCTTGAAGATAAATTATAGCAAAACAAAGCTCTGGAATGAAATCTTTAAAAGGAGAAGTAATGTGTCATTAGCACTTTTGCTATGTCCAGTGTTCATTCACACTCCTAAAGTAGGGCCTTGATGTTTAATGTGATCATTGAATTTTTAAATTTATTTATTGATTGATTGATTGATTGATTGATACTGGGGATCAAACTCGGGTCTTTGCACTTGCGCAGCAGGCAGTGAAACCACTGAGCTAAATCCCCGGCCCATAATGTGATCATTGAATTTTTAACATTATCCCAGTAAACTGTTTGCAGAATCAGAGTTCTTAATAAATACTAATAAGCTTTAGCTAATGTAGAATAAGGGAACCCCCACATTCAGTGTTATTGGGTGGGTGCAGCTATGAAACTGTTTAGGAATATATATATCCTTCATGTTTAAATGGATAATAGGGCTGAGGATGCAAGTCAATAATAGAACACTTGCCTGGCCTGCAGAAAGCCCTGGTTTCAGTCCTAATACCAAAAAAGAAGGGAGAAGAAAGGATAATAAATGACACTGTTTCATATGAAGCCAGGAGGTGGAGGAAACTGCTGACAAGAATGATATTTACAATTTCCTTCTAGACAGAAAGACCTGTATTTGATTTGGTTGTGCTAAATAACATTAATAATATTAAATAATGGTACTCTTTGGGAACATTGATAATAAATTATAAATATTTCCCTTTTAGAATTTTGTATAAAACATTGATTTTTTTTTTTTTTGCCTTTTAAAATTGCTTCTTATATGACCTTTTCTAACCAGCTATTCAAGGTAACTTAGAACACCTCAACTTTTAGGAAAAATGCACAAGAAACTATGAAATGAGTCCTGAGATTTAGGAGTGGGGAAAGGAGTTTATATTTTTAATACTATTCACTTTTTCTTTTTATGTATTTGTATTATATTTGCAGTATTTTTAGAAGTACCTGGCTTTGTCAGATGCCAATGGCAAGCATTTAACAAGTATCACTATGCACATAGTACACACGGCTCCCAGTTAGTTCTCGCCCGACCTGTGAAGAACAGTGCTGTAGCTATTGTTACTCAGAATTCAGGTGACCAGACTCCTGGTCTGAGCAGTTGGATGATGGAGGCACCATTTCCTGAAAGAGAGAATGACCATAGAAGGGATGTGAGCCTGGTGAGAGTCCAGGAGAGCCAGAGGGGAAGATGTGAAGTATGTGGAGTTGGGTATCCACAGTGGTACAGTTGGGTATGCAGGCCTGGATCAGGACAGGACCCCTGCTGGAGACAGAAATATGTAGCCATAAGGCTAAGAAGGTTTGAAGGTCCCAATAGAGTTTAGGTCAGCTGGGGCATCCTCCTTCAGGGAACAGCAGAAGGAAATAAGCCCCACCATGTCAGTAAGTGATCTAGATCACCTGGGCACCTCTGGGGCTGTATTTGTTTTGCTTTCAGATTTTCAACTTCTCTCAAAAATCTCTGACTGTGAGCTTACTCTAACTAAAGCCAGTTGCCACTAGTGAAATTACCTGTGTCACATGCAATTGTCATAAACAGTTAAAAAGCCAAGGACACTCCATTGGATTTTATGAATATAAAACTTGTCTAAAATCCCACAAACTATTTGTCCTTTTTTTGGTCATTTGATCTTTACCCTTGGGTCTCTTTGGTTGTCATCCTTTATTGATTGACCAGTAGAGCTTATACTCTTTGAAACTGATCATTAGAACATATAGCTTACTTAAAGCTATTTTCCAGTTTGAGCTAAATGACCCCACACAATTCCACACATGCACCCCTCTCCTGACAACATGCACACCCTTAGTTTTCTTTGCATGCGCAAACTTGGCCTTAGCTAATATCCAGGGGCAGTTGTTTGTGAGCTTCTGAGCTAGAACTGAGGCCCCTTTTCCGGCAGCATGCTGAACTCTTAGTGGAACAGCTAAGAGGGAGAGCTCAGTAGAACAGAGTTGTAGCTTCCCTGGCTGGGCGTGGTGTGACCATAGCCACTTGCTGACTTGCAGCTACACACTTATTTTTTATGTCTCCTCCCATTAAACGCCAAAAGCCCACCTGCTGTTGGCGTGTGACTTTCGAAAGTCCTGTTCCTCAGGAAGTTGCATACCAGAGCCTATCTCTTTGGCACAGCATATCCTCCCTGCTGTCCAGAATCTCTGTTAACTTCTCTCAGCACAGAGCTCTTTCCCATGCCCTGGAGCTATAGCCAGGGAGGAGGAGCTGCCCCTTACTTGTAGCCTTTGACCCCTGGGTCAGAGCTGGTCTTCAGTGACCTGGGTTCCTGAATGCCTTTGATGTTCCTACCCAGAACACTCCTCAGCAGACAGGGTTGGCTTCCCCAACATGACACAGGAGTCAGGGGTGAGAAGTTCAAGCTGCTGGGCTTGAATCAGAATCGTTTGGAAGAGATGAATTCATCCTATCCTTGTTTGTTATTCCTCTCATGCCTTTGGCAGAAATATTAGAAATATCATGGAAAGCTGGCTACTACATTAAATAGGAGACCTCATGACCAGTCTGAAGTCTAGCTGAGTAAATGTGAAATCTGAATCCAAATATGAAGAAGGAGAAGATTCTATTGTTTTTCTATGCATCTGTAGGGGAAGCCTCTGTGTGCCTCCCAGGCTTGTGCACAGCACTGAGTTAAAACCCTAACAATCTGGACAGTCTCCTCCCAGTCACCGTCCTACACTTCCAGCACATGCTAAGCTAACCACTGCCTTCTTTCAGGCTCTTCTGCAGGACTGCTCTGCTCCTACAATACAGCCATTACCCTAGGCCCTAAGGTCCCTCCTGGATGCCCCCAGCAGTCTGTGCTCAGCTCAGTTTTACCCTGGACACTGCTCATTCTTGCTGTGGTCAGCTGGGCCTGGGAGGAAATTTCAACCAGTTTCTAAAGCTCCACAGTGAGGGCTGTGTCATTCAGTTGCATACCATGCTCAGGTTTTTTGTAGCTTGTCCTCAACAGGACCTCAATAAATGTTTTTGAAGCTAAACTTGGACTTGGAAGAAAATAACCTGTCAGTTCATAAATTATTTTATAGCTTCTTCATATTAGAGAACATTCTATGGTGATAAAGTATTCAGTTTCTCGTCATAGTATCCTACATTGCTCTCCTTCTTAAGTGACTTCATAAGGAACACACTGTTCTCCCTGTCTTCCTTTTCTCAGGATCCACTCACATCTCAGCTCTCCTCCTGCAGGCTCCCTCCACCCACCCCATCCCTGTATTCTCTACAACGCCCTAACCATTTACTGAATCCAAAATCCAAAAGGCTTACTTTGTCCATTTTGGAATCCTCATTCTTTGGCTCCCAAAACACCATCTTCATCTAACTCTGTTGATCTACATCGTTGACTGCATTCTTCAGGCTTCTGAATTCTCCCTCAGTGTTTGGTTTCAATTGCAATCAGTCCTTGATATCCAGGGGTTGCACATCCATGAATTCAACCAACTGCAAATAAAAAATGTAAGAACTATTTATATAGCATTTCCATTGTGTTAGGGGGTATTGTAAGTTTCTAGAGATGATACAAAGTACACGGAAGGATGTGCATAGATTATATGCAAATACTAAGCTATTTTACATAACAGACTTGAGCATCCAAGGATTTTAGTGTCTGTAGGGGAGTCCTGGAAAAAGTCCCCTGTGGATACTGTGGAGGACTTACATTATATTTCTTTTATGTATGTCATCTCTGTGTTGGTCATTCCCAAGTGGATCTGGATATCATCAGGACCCCTAAAATTTAATATATCCAAAAATGAGCTCATTGTCTTCACCACACCCTAGCTCCCCAAGTGACTTCAGTGTTTTACTGTTCTCTGTATTTAATGGCACAACCACAAAAGCCTGAAATCTGTGATTATCTATGCCTTCTGCCTCTGTAGTTTTCACGTTAACCAATGCTCAAGTCTTTATCTTCCCCCATCGTCCTATTCTCACTCCTCTTCTTTATCTCTTTGTTATCTCCCACCTGAACTCAGGATCATCTCCTCTTTAGTTTATTTTCCTTCTTGGCCTAGTTACATTTCTAATATGCAAATCTTATTATGCTGTTTCCCTCTTGCCCTTGCCCACAGATTTCACCTAACATCTTTATTTGGAGTCCTTCATGATCTAGCCCTTACCTCTCTCACCAGACTTATTCCTACTCACTAGTTGTAATTACTGGACTATAGCAAACAATGTAATGCTGTTTTTTTCTCTTAAAATTGTTCTAGCGGAAGCAACAAATTTCTCTTAGTCATTTATGGTGCTATTCATATATTAACTCCTTTGGGAGGTGTTGTTTTAATGCTTTCAGGAATTGAGTTGCTTCTTTGTTTTTTTTTATCCTGTTTTTATCCCACATGGGATTATGAGATCCTCAAGGACAAAGAATATATCTTGTTCATCTCTGGTTTCATAGCACCTATACTCTTCCTGGTTCAGAGCACACACTGTCGTGTTAATGTATCCCAACTTCTTCTTTTATTTCCCTATCCACTAAAATATTGTTACATTCTAACATGAGAATATTGAATATCCCTCCTTTACTC